TATCACACTTTCATCATTACCCTTTGCTAAAATTTTGCTAAAATGTTTTTATTAGAGGCCAGCCTATAGGCTAGTTATGTGTTACTTTCCAAAAGCTCCAGAAAAAAGACAAAGGTATAAATTACCAAATGGATCCAAAATTTAAGATTCTTTGCAATCTAATGAGAAAATAAGGCAAATTAAATGGTGTTTATTTCACGTGAACCGGAGTTTGAATTAATTAATGAATCCTATGTCACTTACTATATGTGAAGTAATTGAAGACTGGTCCAAAAAAACCATCCTGTGAAGCTTGATTTTTAAGAGGCAATAGCAAGGGCTCTAATTCTTCAAGAGTATAGAGTCCAGGAACTTCACCTACAGAAAAAATATTATATTTCTTTTGAATTTTGGCTGAATTATACTAATTCAAAATATATTTTAATACATGAAGCTTTTTTGATTTTTGTATTAAAAATCTGCTCTTATTCAATCTTTCTTTCCAAAAATACAAACTCTATCACCTCTATCTGACTCACAAATCTACATCCATAGCCTTCATTTGATAAAATTCAAACTCCTAAGCAAGCCACAAGAAAGCTCATAATCTAGCCATCTATCTGCCTTTACAGGTTCTTTTCCCGCCCTTCCTTAAACCTTGTATTCTAGCCTCAATTAAATCTTTCGTGTTCCATAAACATCACAAAATATTCTCTCTTCCTGGAATGTATGCCTATGGTCCTCCTTTGCCCCTTATCTTCCCAATAAATTGCTGTTTATCCTTTAAGATGCTACTTTGCCAACTGCCATGCCCATAAGCCTTTCCCAACTACCCGTATGCTAAGTAAACCACTCTTTTCTCTCTCACATACTGCCTGAACCTATCACTGTTTAGCACTTATCACATCATTTAATAATAATTGATTACTCTTCTCTCCTGCACAATTATGTTCTGAATTCCCAAAGGACAAATATTTGATGGCATTCAATATCTAACCCTAGAAAATTCTTACCTAAGTATCTGGAACAAAAATACTTGTTAGATGAATGAATGAATGAACAAATGAATTTGTACTAGAAATCAGGAGACCTAGTCTATAGCCTGCTACTACACAATAACACAATGAAAGGAAAATCAAAGTTGATTAAGACTATAAACATTTGATAGAAGGCCTGGACCATGTCTTGTTCAGAACTATAAATCTGGTATTTAAAACTTTGCCCTGTACAAAAAGGTTCTTAACAAATATTTGTTAAACCAATATATTTTCAATTCACAAAAAACTATAAGATTAAGTGAAACTTCCTTTGATATACATCCAAAGCATTTCATTCACATAGGCCTCATCACAATCTGATCCCTACTTTTCTTTAGGTTCACCTCAGAGGCACCAGACCATTCCTTATCCCCCAAGCTTGTACATACTCAAACATATGCACACATAAATCTCCTTTATATGTCTTTCTTTAAATTTCAGCTAAGCCAAGATACTTTTGAGTCCCTAAATTTAGCAAAGAATACCAGCTCTACTTACATATTACACACTTTTGGGAATAAGAATTTGAAATCGAAAAAAGAAACAGAGGCCTACTGAATACTTGCTCTGAAAAGAAACTGCCAAAATTTAACTTTACTTGTGATTTTTGCAGTTATATCTTGATAATAAAAACCAATTTATTTTAAAACAGTAATTACTGAGTTAAGACTTATCTGGATGTTTGCTCTCACAATAAAAAAACAAACAAACAAAAAAAACCTGTATCTGGTCTATCAGTTTCTCAGCCAAAATGAACAAGGCCTCCATCTAGTGGCAACTTAAGCAATATGCAGGAATGTGTTTCTTAAAAATGAAAAGATGTTATTCTACAAAACGGCCACAGAGACTCTAAATCAGCTCTAGAACTACCATTTTCACTAAGCCATTACCCCACAACTATTTAACAGAAACTGATCTACTGCTTGCCTGCCTAGAGAGTCCTACTCTGTATTTCTCATTTGGGCACTAATGTGTAGATACTACATATTATAAATTAAATGTTTTCTTTAACCAAAGCTGTTAAATACTGAAGAAAAGACTACTTCGCCTCAGAGCCTAGAATAATACAAAACAAGTATTTATTAAAAACTGAGCTGAACATGTGTTCATATAACTTTGTCCTCAAGTCCCTACAATGGAACCATCCATACAACTGAGAAGTTTTTAATAAGTTTATCTTGTACCTAACAAAATACTCTTGCCCAACTTTAAAACTAAGCTACCTCATACCAATTCTACTACAGTGATTACTCAAAAAGAGATTCTAATAACCTTCATGAATTCTTCAGAAATGGAAGAAATATAGGAATTTGCAGGTATCCTCTTGAGGAAAACACCAAAAATGTCGGATGACACCACAGACAACGAAAGCACCACAATTTGCAGGGGATGGAGCCATGGAAGAAGAGTAGAGGAAGCCCAAGAGCTATTCAAGAATCAGACAATGGTTCTTAACTCAGCTTGAGGAAAATCAATTAGGGAGCCTTACTGGTCAAATGCCACCCCGACAAAGAATCCAGAGATTCTAATTTAATGGGTTTAAGGTGGTAGCAAAGAATTAGTTTTTGTTTTTGTTTTTTTTTTAATTCTCTGGGTGATTCTAATATACAATTAGGATTGAGAAATGCTAGGGAAAAAGAAATCCATAGTGCCTGGTATTGTATCTTGGGGGGGAAAAACAAGACTCAAGTCAGTAAGTCAGAGGGGCAAAATGTAAGTAATGATTTTCAAACAATAAATATCTTGAAAAAATAAAACAGTAAATATTTCTACAATCCATAAAATTCCATAAATATAGAAAACTCACACACTAGCCATAAATTTCTAGAAAGTATGTGGATTAATGTAGTCCTCTTTCAAAATATGGTTTTCTATTATACAAATGTATACTTAATTGTACTTACAAGTTCCTTTTTTCCTTAAAAATAATAATAATTTTAATTTCTTCTTTTAAAAAATGAGATTAGTTACTACTTGATTTGTTTTATTCAACTACAAAAGAAGAAAGGGCATTTTTCTAGGTTAATGAATACAGATATAATCCAGATACATGAAATGTGGGTACTAATGTATATAATTCTGTGGAATTTTATATATCTGGACTATATCTGTATTCATATATCCATCCTAAGGCCATGCCATAATTATACAACCATTCCACTACTGATAGAGAGAGAGGTTCTATCAAATTTTTTGTGATTACAAATTATGCTACATATTCTCTTACATACTAGTTCTTTTATTTCTGTGGGTTAAATTCCTACAGATAATAGAATGCTACATCAAAAGGTATGGCATAATTTTTAGTCGTACTGGTTCATAACTTTCCCAAAGGTTATAACAAATAACAACACACCTGAGGTAATGAGAGGGCCAATTTTTCTGCATATTCATCAATATTAACAATAATTTTAATATAATTCCTCAATTCTTGGTTTTATAAAAATGGAGTTTCTCAATTCTCCTGCTATGAGCATCTTTACTTCATGTCACCTTACTAAGAACTACGGCAAAAGTCTCTCAAAGTACATTTTATATAAGATAATTTTACTTAAATAATTTTCACATTATTATTTTTATTTTTTTAAAAATAGAAACCATTCACTTGCCTGAGGACAAAAGGCTATTGATCATCTCCAAAAATGTAGGATGTACAAACTGGTAATCCTCAAGAAGTAAAACTACCTGCTGTGCTTCAATTCCTGCAAGATGTAGCACCTACAAAATAAGAAAACATTTTTTAGTACCCTTCAAGTATTTTTGGTACAATTAAAAATTATCATTTTATATATAAAGTATGTCACTATCAAGAATTTGTTTAATTATCTTTGAGTAATCAAAATTAAAAGTCAAACTTATTTTATAGGTAGGACATTAGAAACTAAATTAGAAAAAAAACTTCATTTTTATATATAGCCACATATTTCCTATGTAAATTCCTTCCTACTATTTTATAGGTAGGACATTAGAAACTAAATTAGAAAAAAAACTTCATTTTTATATATAGCCACATATTTCCTATGTAAATTCCTTCCTTTTGTTTAATCATTCATGTCCATTTGACATCCCATAACTTAGGTACCTGGGTCCTAGAAACCATAATAGGAATTTCTTTCCTATCTATAAATAAAAATATAATTTTCCAATAATCAGAGGAAAAATAATAATCAAAATAAAGACTTGTATATCAGCAGAATTAAAGGCCTTAAAAGATGTTTAGAATAATAACTAATGTGATTTTAAATCTAACAAAGCAAAAGATAGTGAGCAACTCACATGTTTGAGATCATTTTTGAACTGCTTCAGTTCATATCCTCTGGAAATCTTTGGGGAAAACAGCACTGCACTGTGCATATGGCTGACTAAAGAGGTGATGGTCCGACGGCCTACACCACTGCGTCCTGCTAACAGAAGGGAACCTCCAGGAAAACTCAGCACTCTATCTATCCTAGACATATATTCCAGGACTTCTTGGAAAAGTAAAATATCTAAATTCTGGTTGTCTCGTCCATAATGAATCAGACCCTTTTAAAAAATCACAAAGAATATTTTACAATTAACATAAGCCCTAATACATAATAAAATGTTACTTATCTAGATTAAAATATTATATTTGGATACATTCAAGAAAAGAAGTAACTGTACATCATCTAACACCCAATATTTTATTTATTTAGTAATCCAACCTTAGTGGTACTCTCTAAGGAAAAACTCCTATGATGTCAAACAAGTTCAAAGGCCCACGAAAATGAGTTACTTTTGGACATTAATACAACTAAGTAAAAGCACTATGAGATAGTAAGTTAATTACAAAAACTTTAAGATCTCTCAAATTTTATTAGTTGTTATGAACAATGCATACAGACCATGAAAAAATCCCAGAACTCAAAAATCTAATGCCTAAAAAAATCTTTTGTGAATGCTTGTTCTTTTGCACCACTTGGGAATAAATTAAAAGCCTACACAGATACCATGCCCTGGCAGCAGTCCACAACATTTTTAGCATCAGAGACCAGTTCCATGGAAGATAATTTTTGCACTGACAGGGGAGGTGAGGGAAGAGCGGGAAGTGGAGCTTCAGCGGTGATGCAAGTGATGGGGAAGCAGCCCACCACTCACCTCCCACTGTGCACCACCCTCACCCTATTCCCAAGTTCCATGGAAGATAATTTTTCCACAGACTGGGGGCTGGGGGGATGCAGTGGCAGAGCTCTGCAGGCTGGTCCCTAAGAGGGGTTGAGGATCTCAGTAATAGAGCACAGGAAGGGAGAAAATAACATTTAGACTTCGGATGCTTAACGACTTTCAACATTCCCAAACTTTGCAATATCCATTCCAGGCAAATCAATTAGTTTACCAGACTATGAAAAAACTTTTTCTGATATAAAGTTCACACTAAATTTCAATATAAATATTAATTTTTAAAGTGATCATATGCAATACTCTTTCTTCTTTTTATTATAACTAAATTTAAAAAAAGGAAAAAAGAAACTCTCTAGGACTCTCAAAGTTTCAGCAGATCAGAAGCATCAACATCCTCTGGGAGCCTGTTAGAAATGTGGACTCTCTAGGCCTGAATTTGATTCTCAAGAGATGGGACTCAGGAATATGCATACTTTCCAGTTCTCCAAGTGATTCTGATGCTCACTGAAATTTGACACCCACTGCTCTAGGATGATTTCCTGATTATTAAGCCTCACTAATATTTCCAACATCAGATACCTTCTCCCAAAATATACCTTAATAATTTTACACATATCTATGTAAGTACATGTGTACTAGTTACACCTGCCACAATGGACTAAATTCCAAAAGATAAGAACCAGCCTTTTCTATTCTATGATCTATCATCCCAATGCACTCAAAATATTTGCAATAAATATTTTTAAAATGACTATAAATGACCAATTTCCAATTCAAATTCATGATTTGTATTATACCTTTTTAATAACATCCTTGAGATCTGCAGAGTTTAGTTTTCCAAGCGGTTTTCCATGTGGAGGTAATGGTTGCCCTGGGGCTGTCCTTGCTCCTGAATTATGTCGGGCTCCCCATGTAACATAGAAACTATCTGTAGAAATAAAAGATATTTTTGTTTTATACACATTGTTAATAGGAGAATCAATAAATACATCACTTACTAAATTATTGTTAACTTAATTAGTCCAAATAAGATTATCCCCAGAAAGGAAAAGGGAAATTAAAGTATGCCTTAGAAGGTCAGTAATATCAGCCAAAATATAAAGATTTTCAACTGCATATCAAACTCTACCTATGAAGTGACTGATGGTATCCCTAGTCTATATTCCATCTCCTTGTTCTTTCTCCCAGAATGAACTAGCTTCCTTCTACCTTCCCCCTACTCTTCCCCTTTTATTCTCAGTTTGTCCTATACTTCCATTCTCCTTCTTCAGAATCTACATAAAATTTGTATATTAAAAATAACATATAT